CTGGCTCTCATTTTAAGTAAATTGTTGGACTTTTGGTTACCCAAATTCCATGACACTCCTATAACTGGCCAAAATCCCTACAACAAACGAGCAAGAATTATTCCTCCTATGCGCTCAGGGTACCTGGTTTTTCACTTTGATCATGCAGGTGATCTCTGAACAGTCTTGCAGGCTCATCTTCTGTAAGGGGGTGGAAAAATCCTCCATATTCCAGATCAACAGCTCACAGCTGCCGGCCCACGAAGCCCAGACTTCGCCCCTCTGAAGCCAAAAATAAAGAAAAGCAAGCGACATGCTGAGGTATTGAGATTTAATAGCTAACCAGCTGCTGTAAAAGGCTGCTGCAATGAGGATGAATCGGCATGGTTATTGCCGCTTTAAGACTGAGGGTGGGTATTGCCACTTTAAGAAGCTGTCTATATAAATGAAGCCATGAGAGGCCGTATCTCTCTCTCCTTGGGTTCTGTCTCCATTGTAGCTCTCTGTGTAGACTAAAGAAGATTGATTGATTGCCAGGCATTTGCCTACCACATATACTGTATGTATGTATATAGCAGTCTTGTATATAAACCTGTTGTGACTCCGAGACTTAAACCTGATCAGTCAGCAGATGTGGGTTTGAGCGAGGAAGAAGATCTGGCACTGAGATTCGAGCCTGCATGTGACTTGGAGGGGAGTCAAGTAGAGGGAGAGGAGTTGGATTTGAGAGATGAACCTGATTTATTGGAAGATTCAGAGGCCACTCTCCCCCCTGAACCTACTTCCCTAATTAAACCTCAGGTGTTAACTGTTAATCAGGAAAGTGTGTCGGAGGTTTCAAGCGGAGATGAAACTGCCGGATGCTGGCTGGATGCCAGAACTAGGAGAAGATTGAGACGTCAATCTCAATTAGAAAAGAGACCTCCGGCAAAGGATTAATTAATGAGACTGACACGCCCTCTCTCAGAGGATATAAGGGAGCGCACGACTTTGAAATCTTTGCTGGAAACAAAGTGAGTTTTGCCTTGGAAAGATTCGCGTCTGACTACTGCGTTGTGATTTACGAACTATACAGAATTGCCGGACAGATTCTAGGAGGATTGCCAAAGGACTGTGATAACAGAGCAATTGAATCTTCTGTCTCTGGTTTTGTTTGCGTAAAGTATTTGAACTATATAACTTGAAGTTTTCATCTGTGGATACAGGTGGGACAGAACATAAACCATTGTTAAAAAGCAAAGCCTCTGTGTACTGTGCTTTGCTCCTGGGTTATCTCACAATAGTAGTCACGCTGCAAACACTCTGACACAACATCAGACAACGGGGTAGAATATTCTGGATGGTGGACTTTGCTTGAAGCTGCCACAGCTGCCCATCTAGAATTTACAAGTAGCCCTCGATTTAAAATGATTCATTTAACAACCATTCAAGCACCGGAAAAAAAAGTGATTGATGGCTGTTTTTTCACCCTTCCAACCATTGCGGTATCCCCGCGGTGACGTGATACCCAAAATTCAGATGCTTGGCAACGGATTCATATTTATGACGGTGGCAGCATCGTATTGGGGGTCACCTGGTCCCTTTTGGCAACCCTTCTGATAAACGAAGTCAATGGGGAAGCCAAATTCACTCAACGACTGTGTTCCCAACTCGGCAAGTGACTCGTATTTATGACGGTTGCAGTGTTCTGTGACCACTTTTTGCCACTTTCCGACAACGGGGAAGCCAGATTCACTTAACAACTGGGGTTTACTCACTTAACAACTGCAGGGGTTCACTGACCAGCTGTGGCAGGAAAAGTCGTAAAACAGGGGCAAAGTTCACTTAACAACTATCTCGCTTAGCAGCAAAAAAATTCAGCCTCCATTGTGGCCATAATCGGGGACTACCCGTGTACAATGCTTGGAACAGGTTACCTCAGGAAACAACTGGAAACAGAGCAGGGGTGTGAGGGGTTCCAAGGGCACATTTTCCAGTTTCACCTTCTGGCGAACCAGCCCGTTTGTGCTGACCACAGCAATGTAGTCTTGTATACCTGAAAGCAAAGAGACAACGCAGAGTTTAGGACTGGGAGCAACGCCATCGAAAGAGACCGCAGCACGAGAAAAAGGAGAGCAAGAGGGCTTTAAATGGTAAATATGGTATTAATTCAGGTGGCCCTCGAGTTACAACTGTTCATTTAGTGACCGTTTGAAGTTACAGTGGCACTGAAAAAAAAGGGGACTGATGAGTATTTTTCAGCCTTACGACCAATGCAGCCACCCCCCTGGCTAGTCTACAGAAAAGAAGGATTGGGGGGGGGGGACATTATAGCAGTCTTCCAATATTTTGAGGGGCTGCCCCAAAGAAGAGGGAGTCAAGCTATTCAGAGAACCAGAAGGCAGGACAAGAAGCAAAGGATGGAAACTAATCAAGGAGAGAAGCAACCTTGAACGAAGGAGAAACTTCCTAACAGGGAGGACAATTAACCAGGGGAACAGCCTTGACTTCAGAAGTTGTGAATGCTCCAACACTCAAAGTTTTTAAGAAGAGATTGGACAGCCATTTGTCTGAAATGGTATAGGCCAGAATTTCCTGCCTAAGCAGCGGGTTGGACTAGAAGAACTCCAAGGCCCCTTCCTGCTCTGTTATTCTGTATTTGGGTGGATAGATGGATAGGTGTAGATGATTAGATAGATAGATAGATAGATAGATAGATAGATAGATAGATAGATAGACAGACAGACAGACAGACAGATATCTATATCTATCTATCTATCTATCTATCTATCTATCTATCATCTAGAGTGATAGGTGATATAGAGATATATAGATATATAGATAAATAGATATAAATAGATATAGATAGATATAGATAAATAGATATAGATGATAGAGATAGCGAGATAGATAGATAGATAGATAGATAGATAGATAGATAGATAGATAGATAGATAGATAGACAGACAGACAGACAGACAGACATCTATCTCTATCTATCTATCTATCTATCTATCTATCTATCTATCTATCTATCTATCTATCTATCGTGATAGGTGATAGATATAGAGATATAGAGATAAATAGAGATAAATAGATATAGATAAATAGATATAGATATAGATAAATAGATATAGATAGATGATAGATATAGTGATATAGATAGATGGATGGATGGATGGTTGGATGGATGGTGGGTGGGTAGGTGGATGGATGGATGGACTGCATCCATTCTAGTACTTGAGGGGCTGCCCCAAGAAGAGGGGAGCAACTTATTCTCCAAAGCATCAGAAGGTAGGACAAGAAAACAATGTACTGAAACCAATCAAGGAGAGAAGCAACCTGGAATTAAGGAGAAACTTCCTAAGAGTGAGGACAATTAACCAGTGGAACAGCTTTGCCTCCAGAAGTTGTAGGTGCTTCATCACTGGAGATTTTTAAAAAGAGACTGGGCAGCCCCTTGTCTGAAATGGCTGCCATATAGAGTCTCCTGCTTGAGCAGAGGGTTGGACTAGAAGACCTCCAGAGATCCCTTCCAGCTCTATTCTGCTTGACTGATTTAACCTATAACTGCTGCCATCTTTGACTTTTTAGGGTTGCTCAGGCTACCCCAGGAACGATACCGAAAGAGAGAAAGGACTGAGATTGAAGTACGAAGCATTTCAGAAGATAACCGGGCGGGCGACGCAGGAAAACTCACAGCACCAAAGCCGATTCTTGTAGAACTGGATCGAAGTCACCGTTTCCAAGGGCAGCTGGAACCGACGGTTCACTTTCAGAGAGCTGATGTTCCACGCAATGACGGTGCCGTCCACACTGCAGGAATACACCTCGCTGTTTGAAGGGATTAAGAAACACGCTTCTTACAAAAACGCACGCGCAAATCAGCACAGGTAGTTCTTGAGTTACGACCTTAATGGGTTACCTATAAGACCGACCCAATTCTTAGAGCTGTTTTTGTAGTGGTTGTGGTTTGCTATGGGGAGGTTTGGCCCGAAAATCCAGAAGGAAAGGGTGCTTGGGGGAGGAGGGGGCGCGAATCAGTGGTGGTGTTTTACCGGTTCAGCCCGGTTCGCCTGAACCAGTAGTAGTAAAAAAAAAAGGCCCAGCTGAGAGGAGGGGAAAAAAATCCTCCACAATAAACAAGATTTGAAAAAAAGATGCAAAAGTGTTACACTCCAGTCTAGTAATTAGAGGGGGAAATTTGTTTTATGAGAAAAGATAATATGAAATTGTAAACAGGACAGACAAAAGTATACATTGATTAGAAATATTTTTAAAAAATTAGAAAAAGATACGTAATTGAATTAAGAAAGGAACGAGGTCATTTAAAATAAGGCTACAGGAAGTAAAGGAAGGTTAAAACTATTGCGAAAAAAGTTATAAGATATGGATTAGAATGTGTAAGATAAATATGTATCGAGTTTATGTCTGTATGGAGAAGTGATAACCCGGGAGCACGCTGTTCTAAAAAAAAAAAGATATTTTATTTGTATTTATATGTTTTGTGAAAACTTAAATAAAACTTTTATTTAAAAAAAAAATCCTCTACAATCAGCTTAGAGGAGAGAGAAAAGCATAGAATCGGCCCTTCCACCCGCCCCTGCGCTTTTCTCTCCTTTCTCCTCTCAACTAATTGGCACGGCAGGCCTCAGGTGGCGTGGGGAAAGCTGTGCCCACGCGTTAGGTACACGTGCATTAGGCGCACGCGCGCGTGGGTGATCATCTAACCGGTAGTGGAACAGGTAGCATCCCACTGCTGGGGGAAATGGCATTGTGGTTTGCTGGCAGCCTGTGCAGATGGCAGTGGAATCGGACAGTGGGGAAGAACAGGGACCAGCCCAGGAGTCTGGAGAGGACTCGGACGAGGGTCGTGCGTCCGATGCAGAGATGGGACCAGGACCATCTGGGAGCGGTGTGCTAACTCCGGAGCCTCCAGAGTCTGGCAGCAGTGAGGCAGAGGATAAAGGGGAGCCTGTTCCCAGTGAGCATGTGCACAGAGCTGCTAGAAGGCAAGAGCAGTTAAGACAAAATGGGCGATTCGGGAGTAAGGCTGGGAGGTGATTGCCCCTCCCCTAAGATATAAAGGAAGTGCAAAGGGACAGGAACCTTTGCAGGAAGCAATGTCGCTCGCTCTGTTCGGATTAAACCTTGAAGCGGTGTGTGGACTTTGTACTTCGGTTGGTTTTTTAGAGTTAATTTGGCACTTTAGTTGTTGGCAGCAGTTCAAAGGAGATAAAGGTGGGTGCTTATCTCGAGGGACTATTTGGGACTCATTATGGACTGGGAACGAACATAATTCCCAGCGTTGAAATAAAACAGGAGTTGTTTTAACTAAGTGTGTGCTTAATTACGGTCTCAGAAAGCCTTGGTCAGAACAGGCATAAAACATGGTCATGTGACCACAGGGTGCTGGGAACAGCTGTCAATGTGAGCTGGCTGTCAAGAGCCCAAAGTGCAAGTACAACGACCATGGGGGGCGGGGAATCTGTCATAACCTTGGAACCAGATCCTCTACCCACCTAGGTAGACTCTCTCTGGTATCCACAACAATGTCCACAATTTCACGGCGATGGTCATTCAGTTGCTTATTGCAAGACATGCTGTAGGTGTTGATCAAGTAGATGACGGAATCTGCAGAGCCGATCCAAACTTGACTTTGTTCTGCCATGATCATACATTTCTGAAGAAAGGAAGGAAGGAAAAGAAAAAGAGAGAGAAAAGGAAGGAGGAGGAGGAGGAAAAAAAGAAAAGAAGGAAGGAAGGAAGGAAGGAAGGAAGGAAGGAAGGAAGGAAGGAAGGAAGGAAGGAAGGAAGGAAGGAAAAGAGAGAGAGAAAAGGAGGAGGAGGAGGAGGAAGAGAAAAAGGAAGAGGAAGTAGAAGAGGAGGAGGAGGAAAAGAAAAAGGAAAGAAAGAAGAGAGAAAGAAAGAGCCATGTAATGCAAAACTTCTCAAGAACTTATTGTATGTCACTTTTTCCACCTTTTATTTACAAAAAATCCATGGGGTGTATTAATTATTTCAGGATATTAGTTTATTAATTAAATGGTTTAATTATATGGCCAACCAACTCATACACAGTCCCGAGAGGCAGGCGGGATAAAACTTTAGTTACTCAAATATATTATATTAAACTAGATCAAAGCTTCGTATGATAGGAGGAAGGTTATAAAATAGGAGTCAGCGACTGATTGGACTCAATATCCCTAAATTGCATGTATTGTGCAAACATAACCTCTGTATCTTGTAAACTGTCATTCACAGCTTGGCGTGAAATCAGAAATTAATTAGCAATTCTTCAGCAGCTAATCTATCTAAAATAAAAGGTGGAGTATTCTCCAGAGCAGAAACTTCCACTAATTACGAGCTTCACAAGTAATTGCTTTAATATGATTTTTTTTTTTTCAGAGAAAGGGAGATCCCAAACATGGTTTTCTTCTGAAGAAGCTGGACATGTGGTCCTTCCTCTCCTGGGTCATGTGGTCTTCCTTGTTTAATGACGTGGTCCTTCCTCTCCTGGGTCATTAAATAAGGAAGACTCACCCTGTTTTAATGACCCCATAATACCTTGCGGGGTGACGTCTGGGCAACTGAATGGAACGAGCGTTTACTGGCCAGATGCCCTTCCTGTCCCCAATGCGGAGTTTTATTCATAGCCTCCTGATTGTGAGAAAAGAGCTCCTCCTCTATTTAACAAGGAAGACTACCGTATGGGAAAACACATTTCCCAGGAAATTCCCTGCCTATCCCTGAGTTTGGCTACCAATCAGCAACCTGCTATCAACTGGAGAAGTTCTAATATTATTACATTTCCCAACTTCAGTAACTTTAAGATGTGTGGATTTCAACTCTCAGAATTAGCCGGCCTGGGGAAATTTGAGAATTGAAGTCGACGTATCTTAAATTTGCGGAGGTTGAGGGACGTTGAACTACAAATAAAAAACAAGCAGGCTAATGCGAAGGACACGGAGCCTTATCTGCTAAAACAAATGAAAATAAAGCCATCAAACCAGAGTGAGATACTTGAGAAGTCTGAAAGTCCCAAAGGTGCTTTTCCCAAAAAAACAACTGGACTTTCTGCGTTTTTCCTTGAAGACGTTTCGCTTCTCATCCAAGAAGCTTCCGTTCATGAAGTTCAGTCCTTCAGAATGGATGAAGCTTCTTGGATGAGAAGTGAAATGTCTTCAAGTTGCCTCTTCAAGTCTTCCAGTTGCCTCTTGGGGAAAAAAAAACAAACCACCTTTGGGACAATCACGACCTGGATGACCAAAAATCTCCACAGACTTGGAAAGAGGTCTAAGTGTCATGCCCTTATTAGGACTCTGAGGGAGAGGAGGAACAGCTGACAGGGAGTGGAGGTGTGGCTCTGGGTGTTGTGGAGGAGGCTGGGGAAGGGCAGAGGCTGGCTGGGCAGTCAGAGGAAGAACCAGGCTCTCCCCTCTTCATCCTAGGACACGCAGGGAGGAATGGAGAAGGAAACAATTTGGCTTACGAGAGAGGAAGCAGCCATGATCCCCCTCATTGGTTGCAGCTGGGGAGAACAGTATATAAGAGAGATGGTTAAAACATAGCGTTGCCAGAAGCAGAGTATTTTATTCTGGGCTGAAGTTATCTTGGCTGGCGTCCTTCGGACAGACTGTGCCTTGTTATCTCCTTGAAGTTGGTAATTACTTATCCCAGTCCGTTGTGGAAATTCCTTCATTGTTTTGGTTTTTTATTTCACCTCTATCTGCTCATTAAGCTTGGACTGTATTGCTTTCTTTTGGAGACTATTTTTGAATAAGTTTTATCTCCAACTGAAAATTATTGAACAGTGGGGCCAAGTTGGAGGCATTAAAGGACATTTATTTACGTTTTGGATTTTGCTACGTTTGTGTTACACTCTGGGTCATCACACTAAGTATGATTGGAAAACTTCTACAAGAAGTCCATTGTCAATGTCACCTACCAGTTTAGAGTTCCCCACTTTAAAAGAATGCTGCAGAGACCACGTTGAGGCATCAAAGACCACAACCTTCCCTCCATTCAAAGCGCACCACAATTTTGGATGGGCGTCTCCGTGCTTTTCGGTGGGTTCCAGCTGCCCTAAAGATTTAGAGAATTTTACATTATATGGTTGGAATTTATGGAAAAAAAAATGATATCCCTAAGATTTGGAGTAGCCAAGAAGACTTTGCAGTCAACCTCCTTGATTCAACCTGCATGACGGCAACCGAAAGGGATTGTAGCAACACATTTTACGTTACAACAAAGAATGCTACTGAATCTTAGAATAGAATTGGAAGGGACCTTGGAGGTCTTCTAGTCCAACTCTCTGATCAAGTAGGAGATCCTATAGCAGTCCAGACAAGTAGCTGTCCAGTCTCTTCTTGAAAACCTCCACTGATGGAGCACCCACAACTTCTGGAGGCAAGCTGTTCCACTGATAAATTGTTCTCACTGTCAGGAAATGTCTCTTTAGTTCTAGCTTAGATCTCTGTTTAATATTTAATCCTTCCATCCTTCCACCCCACAAATGACCAGCTGTCTGCAAGGAGTATCAATCCTTCTGTTCTCCACCATCCAGTCAGAGCTGAAGAAGCTCCTTGGATGAGAAGCAAAACGTCTTCAAAGAAAAAACAAGAAAGTCCAGTTGCCTCCTGAAAAAGCACTTTTGAGACAACACATGGATGACAAAGAATCTCTACAGACTTTGGAGAACTTTTCTCTACTCCTTCATTATGATGTCATTTGCTGAACACCTTTTCATGTTTATAAAGATAATGTCAGGATTCCGGCAGTTGCCCCTAATTAAATCATGGGTCTCAAGCCAAACTTCCAAAACTTCCAAAGGGATTTATTGGGAGTTAACATGTCTGGCACTGCCTTGGTGTAGTCAAACTCTGAGGCACATCATTCATTGTCACCCTTGACCCTAGTTTTCCCCCCAGCCTCCCAGGGGTATCATAATTCATATTCTCCAATGGGACACATCCATAGTCATCAATCAGGCTCTCCAGTTAGAATTTTGCACGGCAGAAACTTCAGTCCCCTAGTTACTATCTTTGAAAAACTATTTATGGAATGCCCTTTCGATTTCCAAGCCGCCGCACTGCTTTTTCAAACCCTTTCCCCTCCCCTTTCTGTTGGCAACTCTAAAAAGACCATAGAATAGAAATATTTTACGAGTTGACAGATAGATCTTGGATTCCGAAAAATTCCCACAACACTCAACGTTGGCTTTCAGGGAAAAGCAATGGCTCAATGTCTCTGAGCCATGAAGCTGGATGAGTTTAGACGTGTCTTGGACTACGTCAGCACCTGGGACCGTTGTTGAAAGACCACTGTACCCCCTCTTTTAATGAATGTAGGGAGCGGGGCAGGCAGCGTCCTGAAGTGAGACCACGTTCAATCCCATACCTGGTGTATACAGCAAGACTTCCACTGCTTGTGGGAAGGTTTCACCCGCTGATGGGTTGATCTTGTGCTTTAGTGTTTCAGACGTGGTTTTGGGGACCATCATGGGCACTGGACAAATAGAAGGCATGCAGGTTTAAAGATGGTTATAGGGCCAAAAGGAAAAACTTAAGAGATAGAAGATAGAACAGGGAGGAAAGGAAAGCTCTCCATAGAGAAAGCCATATATGAGTGATCTATAGCAATTCTTGGTATCCTTCATAACTACCCTGTTTCCCCCAAAATATGACCTATCCCAAAAGTAAGTCCTAGCTTGACTTTTTTTCACATGCCCAATATAAGCCCTATCCTCAAAATAAGCCCCTATTAAGATCCCACCCAGTCCAGAGTGCACAGGTGAGAAGTAAAGCTATGGTGGGGCGATGGAGCTGCCCTACTACTTACCTTTGGATAGCTGTAAGCCAGGCCTCGCACACCCCAACACCTGCCTTGCCGGCCCATTTCTTCTGCAGCCAGCAAGGCTGGCGAGGCTTTCCTGAAGGCCTCTGGAGCTGAGAACAAAGCTCTGGATCGATCCGGAGCCCTGTTATCAGCTGCAGAGGCCTTCAGGAAAGTCTTGCTGGCCACAGAAGAAGAAGTTCCTGAAGGCCTCTGACAGCGAAAAAGGACGACACGCGCAAGTGAGGTTAGTGGATGACATCCCCTTAAAATAAGCCCTGGTGCCTTTTTTGGTGGCCAAAAAATAATAATAAGATATGGTCCTATTTTCGGGGGAAAACAGTAGAAGATAATTATGGTCACTTGCAACTCTGCACTTTGGCGACCATCCAACACAAGAGTGTAAAGGAGGCCACACAATTCACACTACCAAAGTAGTATTATCTACTGAGTGGTGTGGTGGCCTAGAGGTGAAACCTCTCGCCTCACCATCAGGAGGCTGTAAGTTCGATCCTAGGTAAAGGCAGACACTTCTCTCTCTGGGCATGCTGAGATTAGATCTGCTGAATATAACTCTGCAATGGTGACAGGAAGGGCATCGGGCCAGTAAACACTCAGCTCCATTCAGTTGCTCAAGATTCCATCCCACAAGAGATTATGGGGTCATTAAAAGACGGTAGTGGAAAGGGCATTATTTACTGTAAACGACCCTTCAACTCACCTTCGTTCTTCATCCTGTCAAAGTAAGACAGCTTCGAAGCTGCGTAGATTATTTTGGAGGACTGCAGAGAACCCACTACCGCGTCCATCAGAAGAACGTTGGTGAGGGCTTGTTGAAGGTACTGTGGATCCTGAAAGGGAAGAGATGGGATGTTGAGATGAACAACCAGATGAACAAAACCCTGATTGCAACCTGCACGTACTATGCACATGAGATTCCATGTGAATTTTCCCCAATGTATACTGTGGGAATCGTGTATGAAGTTCTGGGCCTCTTAACATAGATTATTCTGTACATCACAAATCCAAATATGAATGTGGAATTGCGGATTTTACTCCTTAAAACTAGAACTCTGCATTCTTGGACAGAAGAAGTCCATGTTTGAGGTCTTGGAACAGACAAATTCAATTAAAATCCGTGTGGGGAGGGTTGAACTACAAGACCTCCCTTCCAACTCTTTTATTCTGAAATTCTTGGGATCCTTAAAGACAAATCAATATAATTGGTTAATCAAGCAGGAGGAGATGTTTGAAATAAATCCAGGGAAATGTAATCCTTGGCATCTTTAAATAACATCCTTTGGAAATAGTTTGGAAATTCAAACAGCTAGAAACTATCTACTCTACTCTTGATGTCCTCCCATTGTTTGCTAAATCTCTGGAGCATTATTCACCTCCAAAGCCATTTTTGTCATGTTATGGTTCTGATGTTACTTGTAAGGTAAAGATAAAGGTTCCCTTCGCACATATGTGCTAGACGTTTCTGGCTCTAGGGGGCGGTGCTCATCTCCGTTACAAAGCCAAAGAGCCAGCGCTGTCCAAAGATAATAATAACAGATAATAACAGATAATCAGAGTTGGAAGAGACCTTATAGGTCACCTAGTCCAACCTACCGCCCAAGTGGTAAACCCGACATCATTTCTGGCAGTCCAATCTCTTCTTGAAGGTCTCAAGCGATGGCGCTCCCACAACTTCCAAGGGCAAGCCGAAGACGTCTCCGTGGTCATGTGGCCGGCATGACTAAACGCCGAAGGCGCACGGAACGCTGTTACCTTCCCACCAAAGTGGTCCCTATTTTTCTACTTGCATTTTTAACACATTTTCGAACTGCAAGGTTTGCAGAAGCTGGGACAAGTAACAGGAGCTCACTCTGTTATGCGGCGCTAGGGATTCGAACGGCCGACCTTTCTGACCCACAAGCTCAGCATCTTAACCACTGAGCCACTGCGTCCCTGAAGTTAATTGTAGTGTTACTTGTATTGTATTGTTACTAGACGTTACTTGTAGTCCCAGATGTTACTTGTAGTGGGTCACAATAAAATCAAACCAAGGAACACGGATGCTGCAAGCAAGAAAAAGTTAGAAGAACTGAAGAGACGAAGCTTCCAACAAATTGGAAGCAGAGAAGATGCTCAGCTTCATTAATATGGAAGCTTGGATGATGGTCGCCTTACTTGCTCGATTATTAATCTTGCCATCTGGCAAAGTCACATGAAATAGGAATCTGAGAAGGTGAAACATTGTAAAAAAAATGTGCCCACGTTATTTATTAACCCACGCAACGTCCGAACCTTGTGATCGTCTGCCATCTTCTTCCCAGCGCACATCTCTTTCACCATCAAGTGCCAAAGGTCGCACTCGGACTTCAGATTTGCTTCAAAAACATCCTTTTTGTACTTGACTCTTATCTTCAAGGTGGGAATCTTGAGGAGAAGAAAAGTGACGGTGGTATTTCTCACTTCCTGCAGGGGGAAGGTAGAAAAGGAAGAGCTGAGAACCACAATAAGGCAACACACACGGTTCTGTTTTCATCTTTTCTCATGGCCCCTTCCTCCCCCAAGATCTCCTGGAGCAGAGAAGGTAATTGGGTTGTTGTTGTTTTTTGTTTTTTTGCTATCAATGTCAGGATCCCCAGCCCAGAGGACTTTGGTCTAATACATCCGGGAGGCCCACAGTGTCCTGTTGTGTATTTTTCAGTGTTAAAAAAATCTACTCTCTCTCCAGATTGGGAAAATCTGTTCTTTCTCTGGATCTTCTGTCCCAGCCACTTTTTACAGAGGCCCGATCGAGAGCCTTTTAACAAACTGCATCCCTGTTTGGTTTGGTGGCAGCAAATAGAAAGCCCCTACAGAGAGTGGTGAGGACAGTGGAGAAGAGTACAGGAAGCTCGCTTCCCATTATTCAGGATGCTGCCTATAAACGCTATGTGCTTAGCATTGTTAGAGACCCCACACACCTACTTTCTGGTCTGTTTCTGTTGCTCCCCTCTGGGAGAAGGCTTCAAAGTATTTCTAGCAGGACTAACTACCAGATACTGTAACAGTTTTGTTCCCTAGGCCATCCGTCTGGTAAACTTGCAAGATTCGTTTTTCTCGCCATGTACACGTATACATCCAAACTAGACTGTGTTGTTTCTCTGTGTCACATAATATATGTGGCTATGTGGGTATATGGATATTTTTATTTATGTATTTATTTATTTATTTATTTATTCTATCATGATTGTATAGCATATATTGGAGGTGGTGACACTCCTCTGAGAGCTGCACATGATGAAATTTCATTTTAATGTATGCCGATCAGTGTACATTCAAAGTAACAATAAAGTTATTCTACGTTCTATCTTCCTCCTTCCTTTCTTGGTGGGATACATCCTGTTTTGCTCAGGCATGTCAGTATACAGGTGTTCCTCAACTTACAACCATTCATTTAGTGATCTGTCATGCCCCTTTCGGAGTCTGAATCCAAGGAGGAAGACGAACAGCCGACAGGGAGTGGGAGTGAGGCTCCGTTGGCTGTGGAGGAAACTGGGGAAGGGCAAAGTCAGGCTGGGCAGAGCAGGGGAGAGGTAGAACAAGGGAGAGGGAGTTCAGAGGAAGACCCAGGCCCACCCCCCTCTTCATCCTAGGGCACACAGGGAAGAACGGAGAAGAGAGCAATGTGGGTTGCGTGGCTTATGGGGGAGGAAAGGGCCCTGATTCCCTTCATAAAGAGATGCAAGCTGAGTGCGATGTCTGCTGGGAACAAACATGAGTTTATCTTGTGTTGACTGTAGTTATCTGCGTTCCTGGCATCCTCCCAACTGGGTTGATTTACTGCTATTCCTTTACTTCTGGAATTCCTTATCTTCTTGCCCTGCGGGATTAATTACCTCATCTTGCCTTGATTGGACTTATAAAGTTTTTGTTGGCCACGTTTTGGACTTGATTCTCTGCAGCCCAAAGGCTGTTCCTGGGAGAGTTTTTCTCCAGCTCAGAAAGTAACCAGGACATTGGGGGCAAAGTTGGAGCTAATAAAGGGATTCCTACTGATTATCTGACTGTGTTGCCTTTGTGCCCTGGGTCATCACAGTGACCATTCAAAGTTACAACAGCCCTGAAAAAAGTGATTGATGACTGTTTTTCACAGTTATGACCATTGTAGTAGCATCCCCCTGGTCACATAGTCCCGTGGCATAGTGGACCGCACTATATGGAGCATGGGCTACTGTTTTGATGACCAGCCACAGGGAATTGAACCCAGGTGATGGAAACCTCTTTCTGCTGCAGGGTGAAAACACAATTTGGAATAACAAGGAGGAGATAAAAGTTCCCTAAAGCACCATTTGGAATCGTGGATTTTGTGTTTGCAATGAGACAAGGGAAAAAAAAGAAACTTTGATTCTGTGTTTGTAAATTAAGACAGCCTTATTATTATACAAATGGCTTATACATATTGCTGTGTAAGAGCAAAAAGTTGTAGTTGTAATGTTGTGTCTTTTTCCTTTATTTTTCCCCATTACATTATACTCCCTCTTCTTCCCTTCCTCTCTTCTTACTCTTCCTTGTTTTTTTCCCTTTGTATTTTATACTTCGATAAACTAATAAAAAAGTTTTAATTGGAATTGTGGATGTCTCCATGTTTAAGCCAAGATCAAAGGCGCGTTTCAAGTCAAGTTTCCTTCAGACCCGTCGTTGTTGGTGCTCCAATGGAAAGACTCCGAAAGGAAAAAAAAATCAGCCAAAGAAAGAAAAAGACCAGGGTATTGACTATAGGCAGTCCTCAAATTACAACTGAAATTGTGCCCCAAATTTCTGTCGCTAAGCAAGACGGTTGTTAAGTGAATTTCACCCCATTTTACCACCTTTCTTGCCACAGCGGTTGAGTGAATCTGTCAACTCAAAAATATTTCCCTGATCTTTTAAAGTTGCCAGCAGAAAGGGAGTGGAGGAAGTAGTGCATTCCTTAGATAATGTCTAGGTGACCGAAGCTTCTGGCACGCAAGATTATTACGGAAGAGCATGATTGATGACTCTTGGCTATGGATTTGTCCCATTGGAGAATATACATCCAGGGGGTGAGGAATGACCAGGGTCAAGGGGGAAATGAATGATGTGTCTCAGAGTCGGCTACACCCAGGTAGTACCGGCATGTTCACTCCTAATAAATCTTTAAACATCTGAGAGACGTGGCTAGAGACTCATGATTTAAATGGGGGGTGGATGCCGGAGCCCTGACAGAATCACTGTTAAGTCAGTATTACCATCGTTAAGTGAATCTGGCTGGTCAGAAGGTCGCGAAAGTAATTTACGTTACCCCAGGGAGCACGGTGACCGTTGTAAGTTTGAACCAGTTGCCAAACATCTGAATTTTGATGACATGACCATGAGGATGCTGCAAGGATGCTCGTGAGTGTGAAAACGTTCATAAATCTGATTTTTTTCCCCCACTGGGGCTGTTAGAACTCTGAACGGTCACAACATGGTCGTTAAATAGAACGCAACCTGTGCTTTTGTTGGGCTCACCTCTATATCTCTGAATGTGGCGATATCTTGATAGCCGGGACAAGCTCCTCCCATCAACAGAAACAGGCGTTTCGGCGTCAATGCGATTTTGCCGACTCCTTTGTTGGTTTTGACTGAGTTGGACAACTTGTAAACACACTCGTTTTTGTCCAGGTGTTCTATGACGCTCGGCGGCAGGTTGACGTCCTGAGCTTCTGCTTCTGTTTCCTTCCAGTAGGTATAAAAGTCTTTAAAGGTTTCCGGGT